GCAGCAGCCGGCCAAGTACACCGCATGACAGTCGCTCACCGGCCATACCAGCACATCATTTGAACTCTCCGTCGCTACCTGTCCTTCCCGTGAATCTCAGTAAGGATAAGGAGCAGCTGGAGGAACTGGAGCGAGAGTTGGAGAAAGAGAAGAAGGCGAGGAAGGCGATCAAGGCAGAGAAACAAGCGCTTGAGGAAGAGATCGAGTCGTTATCTCAGGCGCTATTTGAAGAGGTACGATCTAATTTTTTGCGAACCCTATAATTTCGATGTTGCCGTTGGTCCTTTTATGATAATCATTGACATCCGATCCAGGCAAACAAAATGGTCGCCACTGAGCGCATTCGGCGCGCCGACATCGAAGAAGAGCTCAAACAGACACGGCTTGAGAAAGAGGCTCTGCGGAGTGCATTGCGACTGCTCGAGGGAGAAAACGAGACCTTACGCTCAAACTCTGGTTCCGAATGTGGCAGCCCTGCCGTACCCCATCCAGAATCCCCATCCTCTTCACCACGCCCACAGCACCTCCCAGCGTCACTGTCAACGATTAATGGGCGTCTGCCTCCACCTGCCCCCCTCGGTGTCCCGACGACGCCGTTTGATTATGACGCTTCGTTCGCAGTTCCTGATACGGCAGATACTGCGACACCGCGAAGGCCTCCGCAGAAGCTCGAAGGGGAAGCAGATGGCGAGAAGCCAAATAGTGACGCCGTGGAGGCAGGCGAAGATGTATCAGTGACGCAGCAGCTATCGAACGGGATAGAGGAGACGACGGAAGCAACCAAGCCACAGGAAGGCGTCCAGGGTCAGGATGAGATTCATGGAGAAGAGTCGGTCAATGAGAGCGAGGCCGACGAAGTGCAATATGCCCATAGACCGCCATCCCTCGAGCTCCTCCCGCAGGATCATGACCCATGGGCGGGGGCGCCTTCATCATCCCGTATTGGACCAGTGTTTGGCAATGCGGTGTAGAATGGCATTCTGCTCAACTATGTGGCGTCTTCACTTGGATATTTTGGGATACATTATTTGTTCAGCGACTCGATATCGTCACCCCAGATTATTGGGGGATAGACGAAGCTATTCAAATCGCTACCTCGCAGTGCAACGGACTTTGACCGGACGTCCGGGCCCTCTACCGTGGAAGTTAACAGGCTTATTTATTTATCTTCTCGTCACTGTTCCATGTTTTATCATCAGACATCTCGCTGTAGAGTACTTTTGTGTATTCCACCCATGCATTGATAGACATCGAAACTGGAGCAATATTAACTAGGTTACCGACTTACCATAGCTATCCATCAAAACAAAATATGCATAACGTTTCAAGTCGTGTTAGTACATAATAGATAATAAATCCTACAGCACATTGAAAAAATCATTCTGTATACGCTTCGAAAATTTGAAAACGTTCGTGACCAACGTAAAACCACTCCCTGAAAGCTCACTCTCAAGTTTCTCCAACACCAGGCGATGTGCGTCGTGGTTTTTTTCGTCGTCGCGAATGTAAAATCCTACACTTTCAACCAAACGCTCCCGTGACGGGTCTTGCGCCCACGCACACAACAGTCTTTTGAATTCGACGGCGGCGGATTCTGACTTCTCGATAGTGTCACAAGCCAAATAGGCGACGAAATTTGTAAGACGAGGAAATGGATGCTTGATTTGGGGGCTTTCCGGAGCTGGATAGAGCTTGCGCAAAATGGCAGCGGAATCTACTTGAGAATAGTTGTTGGGATAAATAGCTAGGAGTTCGAGATTGCGGCAGGGGGATAGAATCTCTGAGAGCTGGGCAACATCGATTAGATTGTACACGATTGCTAGACGGCGGAGGGAGACTAGCCACGGCTGCAAGCTCTTGAAGATGATGTCCATGGACTCCGGGAAGTCAGGTCGGGGTGTACAGATTAATTGGAGGTGTTTTAGCGCAGGGAACTGGATATTTGAGAGCACCTCCGCAAGGCTGCGCTCCTGCAAATCGATTTGCTCTGGCTCGGTTTCCTTACTTGTGCTTGCATAAGTTTGGATCTTTAGCGTCGTTAGATGGGGAAAGTGGAGGGTCGGCCGCTCTTCAGTTAGGTTCTCGATGGTGGACGCCGCCGCGGTCGGGATCTGAAGCATAAACGAAAATTCGTGCAGTTCGGTAATCTGGGATAATGTTTTCACCAGGAAAGATAGTGGTATCCGGTAGAGTAGTTGCAAGTGAGTTAATTGACTCCGACTCGGGAGAGCATTGAGAATTAAATCAATGTCGCAATGGTGGAGATCTAATGTTAAAGTCTGGAGTAGAGAAGATTCCCGGAAGACTTTGATCGGAGGGCAAAGAGCCCTGCCTTTGGGAGCTTCATCACCCGAAGCTATAAGGATTTTTTGGAGACAAGGAAAAGTTCCGCTGGGATAGCCAAGGAGATGGCGCGCGTCTTCGAAAGAATAAAGACGCAGGTGCAGTTCGGATACCAAGGGGTAAAATGGAATTATAGTTCGGAAAAGAAGCCTTGAAAATGGGATCTGACACCCCTTGTATGTCTGAAAGGAAAAGACCAAAGAACTACTCGTGTTATGACTGAAATCGTATTCAAGACAGGGAGACCGAGGACCTTGAAAAAGATCATTGCAGAGAGTTGGGTGGCCCAAGAGAGCATCACGCCATGCTATGCAAACACTGCCTAATATCTGAGGATTAGTCTTTGAGATATGGTGGTCCACTCTACGATACAGTGCATAATCGAAGATCGAGACCAAAATCTCTGGCGGAAGAAGGCGCACAGCTGATAATCGCGCTTTGTAGGTGCTGGCCGTTGTTTCCTTTTCCTGGCGCATGATCGTAGATTCGTTCATCCTTTTCAGAAGATGGTCCATCTCTAGTTGAAGTCTGAGGATATCAGCATCCACATCCGCAATTTCATCCAAAACTCGAGACAACAGGGCTTCAAGAGTTTTCTTCGCGTGAGGAGTAGGGCGAGCGTTATTTCGCCAAAGCTTGTGCTTGATAGTCTCAAAATCATTCTCATTCAAACAATCGATCTAGGTGGATAATAAAAATAATTGGGCTATTGTCCAACTCATAGACGGTGAATGCGAGGGACTTACACTCATAGTTAGAGGTGCTACTGTCGCCGATTGCTTGAGAAGGGGGGTGACAGATGAAGGAAGTATGGGTGCTGATAGATATTATCAACAGGCGGAAATTATTTTTAGAATATGTGTTGGACGGACCATTCACTGAATTCAATTGAAAAAGTAGTCCATTGGTTGAGATTGGTTACCACTTCTTATCTTGAAGTACTTACTGATAAAATGTCGCTGCCGCATAACCAAACCCCAATCTTCGTCGTTTACAGAGGCAGGCTTCATTCTTGATTAAGCGGATACTGTAAGCCTCACGTCAAGTGGCACTGGTAAACAGTGACTTTTGCTGTAGCAGCTAATGATGCAGGTCGTCCACCACGCAGAAATGAATTCCCGGTTATTGTTTAGCGGTGTGGGATCCTGGTAGGACTGAAGAGAAGCTGTAGGAAGCTTTGAAGTTTAGATCATTGCAACTTGCAAGTGCCTGCATTTGGCCTGATCGCTCTGTGATCATCAGTGTTCATCACTACGTGAATCAGAGCACTTAGCTCCGAACCATCATGGCTGTTAACGACGTCGAGAACGGCTCTCCTCCGCCTGATAGCTCTCCAATCGCTCTAGATCCACCACCGCCTTACCCATCCCGCGAAAGGCGACGAGCAAGCCGTGGCCACCGACAGGTCCAGCGAATACACACCCAGTTCTCATCGACCGACTCGCACTCAGACCAGGAGGGCCAGCATTCGCCACAGGTCCTCCTCACGCCTGTCACATTCACAGAAGAGCATGAGGAAAGGGAAGCCACGGAAGACTCCTCTTTCCTAGCACCACGTCGCTTGATCGGACGACCACGGTCGCTGTCGCACGCAAGTACGGCCTCGACGGCCCCGTCACTAGCACAGACGGTCATCTCGATGTTCAGGACTGACGATGAATACCACTTTGATGGTGGAGGGCAAATATATCTGCCGCTAACGATGGAGGAGGAGAATGCGCGTGCTGTACGGAGACACGAAGGGGCGTTTGCGAGGTACTTCAGACCACTTGGACACAAGGCCTACTACAGGGCGCTGTTTCATTTGGCGGTAGTCAACTTTCCATATGCCCTAGCGGCATGGGTATACTTGTTCGTCTTCACTGTGGTGCGTCTCATATCCAACTCCTCAAACACAATTTGACTTCTACATATCAGGCTGGAACAACGCTCCTCATGGCTCTTCCCTTGGGCGCGCTTCTTTGTTTCTTCAATCTAATAGGCGCGCGAGCGTTTGCTCGGGGAGAGGTGCGTGCTCGTCCGTTTTGTCCTGGTTTTGTCTGATATTGAACCCAGCTTGCCCTGCAATCAAGATTCCACGGACCATTGGCATACCCTGCGCCCTACCCACCTCGCCCTATCTTCATACGTCGACGCGAAGCTACCTCTGCTGAAGTCGAAGCAGGCTTCGCCGCCGCAGGTGACCTTGTCCCCGAACGATCCTTTTACAAGAATGCATACGCAATGGTACGTTTCTTCTACATAAAATATCTCATTGTCTGAACCTCCTCCAGTTCACCGACCCCACATCGTATCAAGCGCTGTTCTACTTCCTTGTAATCAAGCCTAGTATCACGATCATCTTCTCCCTCATGGTTATTATCTTCGTCCTGCCTGCGCTAGTGCTCGTGTTTCCCGCGCCAGCTGCGCTGCGGGCCGTTCGCAGGCTCGGCATATGGCAGGCTAACGTAGCGATTGAGGGACTATATCTTGCTGTGCGGTGAGGCGGTGTTATCGATTCATTGATACATCGTGGTTAGGGGCAGGGAGACCTGCTCTATGAATGTCTTTGCTCGTTATACTAGTCACCAGTATATTTTCGTTGAATTTGTATTCAATACTTTACACCATACATAAGGCCTCAGGCCTCAATGTGTCCACTCTCACGATAGTCCGGTGGCGCTGTAGTGTAGAGGTTATCACTCGAGATTCTGACAGTTGTCTTCTCGAAACCCAGGTTCGAGTCCTGGCAGTGCCTTTCGATAAACGGGTCCTTATATTTTTTATTTAAAAAAAAATATGTCTACATTTATAGATGGCAGTGCTGGTAGCATAATATAGAGGTAGTCTAGAACCCTGAGCTGTGAACCCCACAAGTAATTTGAGATGTCACTACGAGCACTAGTAAAATGTCATAATGTTGCCCTATGATGGGAGGGGTAAATGCTTTTTTAAAATAGGTTTATTTGATGCCATGGGTGGGTTGGCAGGGCAGGCGTGCGGGGATGATCATCTTGAAATGTGGCGCACGAGTTACGGAAGTGGTATCAGAGCTCGGTGGAATTTTAATCGATATAGCGAAACAGCCTGGCCGTTTGCTGGTCTGTTTCCAAGATGGAAAGTTCGTTACTCACTGTCAGAAATATGTGATTAATCTTACATTAAACGTTCAAAATACCAGGCTTAAGGGATAGGTTCGATACATTTGATTGATTTCGTTATGTACGATATATATTATACAGAGAGAGGACAGGGATTATGTATCTATGAGACGATGAAGTAAAAATTAGTAGATATAGATCGGTGTGTATACTTGAGCGTTTATATAAGAAAAGTGAGATGTTTATGACCCTTGGTATTTAATATGAAGCCTTGATGATGTCGGCTGCCCTTTCTGAGATGGCATACACACTGGCAACGGTGTGCGCAGACGGGACAAAGGGCTGCCAGCAGATATCAACACCGATTGAACCACAATTCACTACTGCACTCACCATGATCGAAGCATCAACGACGCGGACACCGTGCACCTTCTTCAGCCTCAAATCTGGATCAACGACGCCGTTCGGTGCGCCCTTCTTCGACATCGACGCCGTGCCGACAGGGTGGAAGAGTGTCCCCGCGTTTGCAGCAGCGTATGCATCGAGTTGCGCATCAGTGACTGCGTCACTTAGGCCGCCTGCGTCGCTCAGAATATATGTGCTCCATACGGGCGCTGCAGAAAAGCGCTTGATGCTCTTGAGGGCCTCGCGCATGATGAGTTTGTCGTAATCGGTTTTCAGTAGGCCTGGATCGATTAGGGGTGTATCGAAAGGGTTGTTGGAGCGCAGTTTGACTGAGCCACGGGAAGAGGGGGCCACGACAAGCGCCGTGAGTACTATAAAGTTGCCAGAGGGCGGCAGTGGGATGAAGGTAGGGAGACCGTTCTAAGATGGATTTCGTTAGTTATCACTCCCCTTTGCAGCAGCGAGATGATGACGTACAGTGATGATCATTTCATAATGAGGCGTATTGGGTCCTGCAGCGCTGTCCGGGCTGGCAATTAAGCTAGGAGGAATTCGACCAAAGCCAATGTGGTCCAAGACAATGTCGGTGAAAGGACCGGTCTTGTTAGCCTTCCATTCCAGGAAGACTGGTTTGGGATCGCGGCGAATTGTTTCGAAAGTTTCATTCCCGTTGACAAGCCACGGGTTAGAAATGACGGGATGGTCGGAGAGGTTCGAGCCAACATCCGGAAGGTCCACGATAGGTGTAACCCCGACGGCGTTTAGATCGGCGGGGTTACCTATGCCTGAGTTCATCAGGATTTGTGGTGTACCTACAGTTCCTGCGGAGAGGATTATTTCTTTCGAAGCAGTTATTTGGTGTAATGTACCTGGACGTGAAATGTAAACAATTATCTGGGGTTCATTAATGGGGACCGAGGACATACCATTGCCCTGTCGGAACTCTACTCCACGGAAGGCAGGTGTAGTTCCATTCGCAGTTTGGATTATACGGGATACTTGTACATCAAGGAGAACGGTAAGATTAGGCCGTTCCAAAAATTTCGGGGCGAGGTAGGCTGTAGCTGCACTACTCCTTTGTCCGTGCAACACGGTGCCCGTTCCCCAACCTGCAACACTTATCAAGAGCTATTTTTGCGTGCAAATAAAACAAGCTTACCGATACCTAAAGGCATCCCAGAGTTGATATCCTGGTTATATGCGTATTCGCCTCCAAGTTGCTGGGTGGCGGTGATAACCAGAGGGTCGATTTCAGTCGGATATCCCGCAAGACTGACACCAACCAGCCCATTGAACCCATGAACGGAGGGATCGAATTGCCCAGTGGTATTGTGGTGATCTGCAGGTGCACGCCACTTCTCGCTCTTCTTGAAGTAACGAAGCAGCTTGTTCCAAGACCATCCTGAATCACCACTGACTTCGGCGAAGCGATCGAAGTCTTCGGCAGATCCACGGGTGTAGACACACCAATCTATCAAGAACTAGTTAGACTTTGCTTTGAAAGATGATGTATCACGAACTTATACTGCTTGAGCCACCCAAAATGTGACCCCTGGGATAAGATATATTTCGGCCTGCGAGACCAACCTGGTCTGTTGTAGTGTAATTCCAGTTGTAAGGACTCGGGCGAACCAGTCCTGACGCGAGGAAAGGTATCTGCGTTTCAAGGACACCGATATTACTATATCAGAACCAGGTGAGTCAGAAATGTCCACCAAGAGCTCCATAGCCTGCTTACGAGGGTCCGGCTTCAAGAACTAGGACACTAGTGTTGCAGTTTTCCGTGAGCCGGTTAGCGAGGACACTTCCAGCGGTTCCTCCTGTAGTTCGAGTGGAAGTCATATATGAGATCGCACGGGTTCAATGCTCACCTCCAATGATGATAAAATCAAACTCTACATTCGGTATTTGGGAGATCTTTTCTATAAGCACAGCCTGGGCGAGTAAGCTGAATAGTAGGCTCAGCAGCACTGGCGAGAAAATGCTCCGGTGCTGCATTGTGGGCGGCGGAACGAAGGAGACTAAGAGTGGAAGGAAATATAGACAAAAAACTGCCTAGCTGTATTTATGTGATTCTACTCGTCCAATTTTTGAAACCGCATCGCGACCCAATCTCTAGGTGGTCCCATTAGAGATAATGCCCAATGCCACAGCCAAGGCTGCATGATGGGGTCAACGAGGAGTAAAGAATATAAACTCGGTACAGCTTACGTAGTTCTAGGAGAGAGAGATTGACGCGTGTTTCAATAGGCTTGGAATGATGATGAACGGGACCTAGGTAGTTAGGTCGGCTGTGCGATTTGAGATCTAGAAGCATTACGTCAAAAAAGATAAAGCCTTGAGGCGCCAAATCAAGGCGCTTTGGGCAAGGTGCAGCTTGTTGAGGGAATGGGGATGATCGAAGGATATAAGCCCGATTTTAATGAGGCCTAAGTAGGTGTTGCTGGATGGTCCAAGTGACTTCATAATTTTCGACACGAAGAAAGTAGCGACCATAGAGTAGAATGAATGGCCTGACTCGGGGGAGCCGAGATGATCAGCCTGCCCAGCCACATCCTTCGTACCTGATACAGAAAACTATGGTCTATAGGCACCATTCTAAGATTCCGGGGTAAATCTTGACATGCACCAGGGCTAAGCCGCAAACGTGCCAAGTCCGCAAGCATGTTTGGTTCAAACCTGTAAAATTAGGAACCAAATGTATTGCAACTACTTTGGGTAGTGACAGGGATTGGAATGCAGTCTGCGGATGACGATACAGGTTTATTGTGATGTTGTTTTGGGGTTTTAAAAAAATGGGCGAAGACAAATCAATGCAGAAGCGTACTTGATAAAAGTTACAATCCTTTCACAGCAGAGAGCGAGCTGAAAGAAAGAGGGGCAGAGCCAGGAGACACAGCGATGGTGGGCCACTACGAGCTCGTGGTAGGCGGGTCAACGACTCTACCCACAATGTTGTAACGTTTCCTGAGAAAAATGCACGGTTTACGGAGTGCTAGTATGAAGGGAAATTATACTCACGAGAAGAACGAATGCCAGTCATTTAAAACCTTCATATCATTTTCATTGAGGCCACTGTAGTCCGCGATCGCATGCTCAGGTTTTAGACTTGACATGCCCAAGCCCTTTGAGCCATCCTTTCCAGCAAAAACACCATAGGATCTCCCGGGACCGTAAATGTCGGATTTATGTGTAACGTCGAAGATAGTTCCTGGGAACAGACTAAACATGAGCAATGGAATGAAGGCGTTTCTCTGCTTACGGACCTTTAATCGCAACATAAATAGGTAAATCTGGATTCTCGCCGGTGTACCTTTTCAACTCCTCAGTTGTATATGGGTCATCTTTGGGAGGAACGAGATCTTCACTAGCAGCCTGCATGGTGTACTTTGAAGGCTTTTTTAAATCTTGATACGTACTGGAGTAATTTTTTGATGCGAAATAGGTCGAAATGTCAGGCTGAGAAGCCACAAGCCCCAGAATCTGAGATACAAGTGGAAAGCTGTGAAGGTGGACTCACTTTGCGGACTCGGAATGCGTTGTCCAACTTTATCATTTGATTGATGCCGGCAAATGCCGGAGATTCCAACGGCCTACAGGCCATGCCATCACAGCCACGACTGGTACATAATTCGAGACTGGGGCCTGGACCTTCAACAGATGGTGGGATTGCAGCGGGCGCAGGCTCCCAGAATGTTTTCTTTTGGGAATCTACCACGTTCCTGCTTTAAAAATTGTCATTGCGCTGTTGCGCCCAACAGAAAACCGGCATCATGATGAAAATCCAAAGTTCAATGAAGAAAGTCGCCTCAGTACTTTACTACGGTATTAGAACGCAGCATTGAAAATCCAATCAGTATCGCGTGCAACTTATCGTCAGTAGTCTAATAGGCACTATTGTCTACCTGTTATCAAGCGTCCAATCGAAACATGATTCCAGTTTGGATTATGGTTCTCGTCCTTCCTTGACTGTGCTGCCCATGCTCCGAAGGTGGTCATATTCGGATATACTTCAGTGACAGCTACATCGCCATCTTCGTTTTCATGATCAGCAGATATGCGATGCACACGCTCGATTTCCGTGATGCTAGAGAGGAAATCAGAACGTTTTATTAGAAGAAGTACCCATAACAGGCTCACAGCGCTTTTGTGTGCCGATTGATGCTTATGAGGGCGCGACCGAGAATTTTGGGTATAGAAGGTAAGGAGCGGCCTGTCGCAGTCTTGTATGCAGCTTCCATCTGCCCCGTTG